GCGTAAGCCTGCTACGCAGGAGTACGCGATCATACTCTTTACCTGGTCTTCTATTCGAAGAAATGTGGTAGATTCAGATAAGGATCACTGATCAATGATTCAGTTAAGGATAAGGATCAGAAAACAGATAAGAATTTGACGTACTCCTGCGTACTCCTGCGTAGCAGCCCTTTTTAAAATTTCTTTTCTTCATAAAAGCTTTCAATCAAGTGCTATAGAGCTGGAAAATGGCTCAAAAATACGACATGAGCTAACAGATTTTTGAGCCATTTTCCAGCCCTATAGCACTTCATTGAAAGCTTTTATGAAGAAAAGAAATTTTAAAAAGGGCTGCTACGCAGGAGTACGCGATCATACTCTTTACCCGGTCTTCTATTCGAACAAATACGGTAAGCCTTTTTTTACTGTGAATTATTTTACTGATTTAGAAAGTTTAGTTTTTATATCAAATCTTTTTCTTATTTACTTCTTATTTACTTCTTATTTACTTCTTATTTACTAACTTTCATGAATTGACTCTTTTTAGCTGAGCTTTGCAAGTTATTTTAGCTATTTAGCTCAGCTATTTTTCCGAAATAACGCTTCTTTTCCTTTTCGTTTGTTTAAATGGTCAGTAAAAAAGCTGGATAAATAATTGAAAAAAAAATGACTGATGACGGCTGTAGCGAGTGATTGAAGTTCGCTTTTAAAAACAAATTTTTGAAGGAAATTTATTAGTATTGGCTTTTGCTTGAATAAGATTTGCTGGGGTGTAAAAATAGAAGTGTTAAACGGGGGCTTTGAATCAGTGAATCAGTGATCAATGGTGGTATTCTTTGACTCAAAAAAAGCTTTTAAAAGCTTTAAAACAGCTTTAAAACAGATCTAAAACAGCTCTAAAACAGCTCTAAAACAGCTCTAAAACAGCTCTAAAACAGCTAAAACAAACCTTTTTTTAACAATAAGTATCAAACAAGCTTTGTTTCTTTCACTAACAAAACTTGTAAACAAAAAAAAAATTGCCTTATTGAACGGCTAAACAAGGCTAAGGCTAAATTTGTTTTAGAATTTGTATGCGCTTGCGTAGTTGATGTTTGATAATCTCTCTTAAAAACATCATTAAGCCATTAAGCCATTGAGTCAGTAAAGATTTTCGAAAACAGAGATACAAAAAACTATTAAGGGTCAACTGTGCGATGTTCTTACAGGTGAGCACACAAAACAAACTGCGCTTTTCTTTAACAAAATTTTATGAAGATTTTAATAAAACTAACCGAAAGTCGATCCGTTGCTTGTACCTCGAGATATAAGCCGTTAAAGTTGACCGACTTCTGTAGGTGGCCCTTAAGAAAAAATCGCAAAAGTCGATCAACTTTGCCGCCGTTTTTCTCCATGTTCTTACCAGTGAGTACACAAAACGAACTGCGCTTTTCTTTAACCAAATTTGATGACAATTTTAATAAAACTAACCGAAAGTCGATCCGATGCTTGTACTTCGAGATATAAGCCGTTAAAGTTGACCGACTTCTGTAGGTGGCCCTTAAGAAAAAAGCCGGTCAACTTTGCCGCCGTTTTTCTTCATGTTCTTACCAGTGAGTACACAAAACAAATTGCACTTTTCTTTAGCCAAATTTTATGAAGATTTTAATAAAACTAACCATAAGTCAATCTGATGCTTGTACCTCGAGATCTAAAGCTAAGGGCAATCATGCATCATATTTACTCAGTCTCTTAACAAAAAGAGCAGAATTCATAGTCTGTTGACTTTGTTTTTATTCGACCAAGCTATAAGCTTTTATACTTCCTTTTTCTTTCTTTCTTTCTTTTTCCATTGTATTTCCTCTTTCTTTCTTCCCCTTGTACTTCTTGTTTCTTCTCTGACAAAAAGATACCGAGTAGGTCAGTGGTTAGTTAGAGCATCTGCCCGAAAAGCAAAAAAAACAAAAAGATCGAGGGTTCAATCCAATGCCCGAAAATCTTTCTCTATCATTTCTTACTTTATTTATTTACATTTGAGCTTTCCCTCCTTCCTCAAGTGAACAATGTTCCTTTCATTTGTGTCTAGAATTCATATCTCTGGTTTATAAAACACTCAAATGGGATGTGTTGGGGGGAAAGGGGGGAAAGAAGAAAAGGAGGAGCAATGGAATCTCAACAATCTTCAGTGTTGAACTAGAGAATGGAGCGTGACTCGTTGAAGAAGAAGATGTACAAGGAAGAGAAGAAGGAAGAGAAGAAGGAAGAAAAGAAGGAAGAGAAGAAGGAAGAGAAGAAGGAAGAGAAGAAGGAAGAGAAGAAGGAAGAGAAGAAGGAAGAGAATCCCAGGAGAGGCAGAGATGCATTTTTCCTGAAACCCTTGTCCAAGTTCTTTCTTCTGATGGAGGTTTCGGGGCAATGCAGGGATGATGGAGGCCTCGGGGGGCGGCTCCCTTCAGCTCCCTTCAGCCCAGGGCCTCTTTTCCCTCGAAAAACCGCTCTCAGCTCTCGGACACATCGATTTGCACCTCTCTGCCCCTCCCCAGCCTTCTTTTTTCATCTCTTTTCCCCATTTTCTCAACCATTGAATGCCTCGAGTCGTCGATTCTTTTGTCTTCCATCTTGCATTCCTTTTTTGACCCTTTTTCTCTACCTATACATCATTTATCGAGTTTCGATTTTCGGATAGAGTTCTTTTTTCTCTAGAACTAGATCTTAGATTCTCTAGATCTAGTTCTTCATTTGATATCTGTTTTATCCATCTTCCACTCCATTCTTCCACTCCATTCTTTATCCTCTGATAAACGCACACTTTCTGGCACACTTGGTGACTCGCCTTTACCTTAAAGGCAGTACAAGTATGCCAAATTGCATTTGTTTTCCAGAGTACAAAGTATAAGGGTACAAGCTGGGCTGTGGTTAGAGTCAACCTAGAGAAGGGGCTGTGGTTAGAGTCAACCTAGAGATGGGGCTGTGGTTTGAGTCAACCTAGAGATGGGGCTGTGGTTTGAGTCAACCTAGAGATGGGGCTGTGGTTTGAGTCAACCTAGAGATGGGGCTGTGGTTTGAGTCAACCTAGAGATGGGGCTGTGGTTTGAGTCAACCCCTAGTGGCTTGGAGGGAAATGGCTTGTAGAAATCTTTAAGGAAATCTAAAGGAACTTTTTATTACTGTAGCATAATTGTAATAAGTTTATAAAGAAGTTAAACGCATCAAAGACCTAAATTCTTCTCTTGTTTCCTCGTTATCTTCTTACTTTCATCAACAAGTTTATCGAAATTCCCGAAAAGTGCACTCCATTAAGGGAAAATAGATCTAAATTTACTTCAAAGCTTTAAAATTTTTTGTTTTTCATTTTGGATAGATTCTTTTCTCAAAAAAACAAGATGGACGTTTAGGATTCTTTTTCAAAAAAAATATGTAAGCGTTAAAAGAAAAACAAGAGAAAAATGGGAAAACGTTCAAAAAAAATGATCAAAAAAAATGATCAAAATATTGAATCATGAAAGAAATAACAATTTTCTTTTTTGATTTATACTAGGGAATTGATTTTTGGATTGAGAAATTGAGAAGATTGAGAAAAGAAAAAGAAAAAGAATTAGATGGGGCTTTTGAATTCGATTACACACTACACAGAGCCGATAGAGGACAAAGTGATGTCAAGATGTCAATTGTAGCTTTTTTTGGATTGATTTTAATACTCAATGTGATTTAGAATAGTATTGTATATTAGAATAGTATTGTACATTAGAATACTATTGTATATTAGAATAGTATTGTACATTAGAATAGTATTGTATATTAGAATAGTATTGTACATTAGAATAGTATTGTACATTAGAATAGTATTGTATATTAGAATAGTATTGTATATATGTACAATATTAGTATTAGTGTAAGTATTAGAATAGCTTTTGGGCATTAATTTTAAACTAAATGAGGATAAAAATTAGCCAAAAAAAACCCCCCAAAATCTTTTTCTATCTTTTGAACAATTTTTCTTTATATTTACCATATTTTCTCTAATAGTAGTGCACCGGGGGGAACCGAGTTGATGTCTATTTTACGGTTTCTAAGCTTTCGCAGAAGCTCAACATTCTAATCATCGTCAAGATCTCATCGTCAGCTACATTTTCCGATCCCACATCGATAGGTTCTGATAAGCGCTTTTCGAGATTTCGAGAAATTTAGACAAGCTTATGGACTAGTATTAGCGACTAGCTTCTTTGAGATTAGCTTCGCCTTTAGTTACCAGCTTCTTTAAGCTTTGTTGGATTTGTTACGGTAGATTTGTAGCCGAGTTGATGTCTATTTTACGGTTTCTAAGCTTTCGCAGAAGCTCAACACTCTAATCATCGTCAAGATCTCATCGTCAGCTACCTTTTCCGATCCCATATCGATAGGTTCTGATAAGCGCTTTTCGAGATTTCGAGGAATTTAGAGCTCAGGATTTAGAGCAGCTCAGTGTGCACTACTATTAGAGAAAATACGGTATAAGACTGTAAGTGAAGTAACTTTTAGACCATAAATTTCAGAGTGTAGCCCTTTTCAAAACCCTTTTCAAATAACGGTATATTGGTGATAGTAGGAATGGTGTAGTGGATAGTGCGCTCGCCTTCCGCTCCCTTTCTCCTTGGTTCGAATCCCCTCACGGTTCGAACGTTTTATTTTTCTGTTAAAACACTAAAACCAACTTTTAGGTGTTTTAAAGTGTCTATCGCTTTAGTAAAAAGCTAAATGGGGCTCTTAGAAATGGCAAAAGATCCCTCTACAAACCCTCGTTGAGCTTTGAAATAAAAAAAGTGATTATCACATGAATCTTCTTTCAACCATTATTGACTTTGATCGGGCATTTGTCAGCAACTTTTCCGAAAAACCGCGTCATTCTGTATCTGTTGCGTTCAATTTTGAAACCATTTATCTTCAAAATCTCTTTTTTTTTTTACCTAAAAATTACTATATTTGAGTAGTTCTTTTGAAAAAGTTTTTTTAGATCAACGGATTGACTTTCCGGGTTTAAGCCGAATAAAAAAAAGCGTGCAAAGATGCCGCAAATGTTGGGTGATTCATTGGAGGATGAAGAGGAGGATCTTACAAAAGAGGTCAGTGAAAAGGGAAATTGAATGAATATTGGATAAAAAGATCAGAAATATTGAGACCATCGCTATCAGCTATCAGATCGCTATCAGCTATCAGATCGCTATCAGCTATCAGATAGCTATCAGCTATCAGATAGCTATCAGCTATCAGATAGCTATCAGCTATCAGATCGCTATCAGCTATCAGAGCTATTCTAAACATTGCAAAACAATTGCAATAGAGACAAGAAAACTTTTGTTTCTTTTCCTCTTGTACCTTTGAGCTCTCATTTAAAGTACCCTTTCTGGTGCACTGAATGCACTGTTCTGGTGCACTGTTTCTCTTAAGAAATCTATGCTCCAGAAGGGATTTGTTTGCACTTTAGTTTTTAAATAAAAAGTGCTTCTGAACTTCTTTTTTTTAATCTCTTTTTGATCACTTTTTAATCTCTTTTTAGTCAAATAAAGATCTTTTTCTTTAAATATTTACATAAAATTAAAAGCTTCTTAGTAAATTTGAAACGATTATTTATGAAAACTAATATGTTTATTATATTATTATTATATTATTTCTTCTTTCAGATGGCCCCAAAAGAAATGCCAATGCAAGCAGTCACTCAGGCGACAAAGGCGGCTGTGTATGTTCGATTTTTTTTCGAATTTTAAAAACATTTTTCTGGGATATTGATCCTTTTGAGTTGTCCAAAAACTGTAAAAAAAACTGTAAAAACTGTAAAAAAAATGCAATGAGTCACCGGAAATTATCGGAAAACGAGAATGATGAGAGCATGTAAAGTTTTACAAAAAATGTTAAAATTTTGCTTTTTTCAAGACAAATGCAAAGCTTGACCAGATCAAATATCGAGTTTTTTTTTTGGTTTGGCTTAGGCTAGGACAAGTTCAATACTTGGCTTGGACAAATAGCTTAGGCTCAGCGAAATGGCTCAGCGAAATGGCTTACATTGGCCAAGTCAAACTGTAAAATGCAAGCAGTCACTCAGGCGACAAAGGCGGTTGTGTACGTTCGACAAATAGCTTATTGTTAGGCTCAGCGAAATGGCTTACATTGGTCAAGTCAAGTCAGGCTAGACCAGGTAAGAGCAAGGTTTAGTCAAAAGCCATGTTTAGGAAGGAGGTCAAATCCAGAACCATGCTTAGGCCAGGATTCCCCTGGAAAATTTAACAACAACTGCTCTCAGCTTCATTTTATTTTCTTTCTTTGAAAATATATCTTTGAATGTATAGCGTTCGTTTCTTTTCCCCAATTTCACTTTTCTTGTCAGACTCATCTCTTTCACTTTAATTTACTTCACAAAAAAAGGGGAAAAAGCTAATAATTATTGAAGGGGAAAGACTAAAGCTAGAACTATACAATAAATTGAAAAAGAAGAAGAAGAAGAAGAAAGGGAAAAGGGAAAGGATAGAAAGAGAATGATCATTATCTTAAAGGGATGGATGTAGTACACTCATCAATGAACTTGGCTCTTAGCTTGGCCCAAAGCTCTTACCCAAAGTGGAGCTGGAGATGAATATCAATGGGACTTTCAAAAAGCTTCAAAGAATATAACATTAGTACTTTCTAGGTTTAAAAAAAAGAGATTTTGAAGATAAATTGTTTCAAAATCGAACCTAACCGATACACCCAACAGATAAGCCTAAGCCTAAGCCTAAAAACGAGATCGACCTGAAAATTTGCCAGGATGCTCCTATGGGGGGCGCAAGCACAACACCAAAAGCTTGCACCTTAGCTCCGGGAACCGGCTGAGATTCAAAAAATGAGGGTTCAGCTCAAACCCAAATAGACTTAGTGCTAGGCGCTAGCCACTAGCCTTCGCACTAAGCCCAAGCCCAAGCCTAAGGCGCTAGCCACTAGCCTTCGCACAAAGCCCAAGCCTAAGCCTAAGCCTAAGCCTAAGCCTAAGCCTAAGCCTAAGCCTAAGCCTAAGCCCAAGCCTAAGCCTAAGCCTACGCCTAAGCCTAAGCCCAAGCCTAAGCCTAAGCCTACGCACTAAGTCCAAGCCTAAGCCCTTTTTTTGGAAAACTTGCTGACAAACGCCCGACCAATTTACCAAGTGTTATATAGAAAAATAAAGCCCTTCATCTTAGCATCATTTATCTATAAAGAGCTTCTCGATTTGAATTATACAACTCATTTTACAAGCTCTTAAATGAGCTCAATGCCTCTCTCCGACGATCTGCTATTTTTGAGACTTTTTTTTACACACTTTTACATCTAGAATCAAACTTTTTCTTCAATCAAACTTGTGGGATTTTTTTTAAAAAGTATCATTCAACAAAAATATAACGCTAAAAAGCGTATACAACAAGATCTTCTTGTAAAAGTATCAAAAATGGCAGATTGCCGTAGACTTGAGCTCATTCAAGAGCTTTTAAAATGAGTTTTATAATTCAAATCGAGAAGCTCTTTATAGATAAATGATGCCAAGATGAAGGGAATTATTTTTCTAAATAACACTTGGTAGTTTGGTAATTGGTCGGGCGTTTGTCAGCAACTTTTCCAAAAAAAGGTATCGCCATAATTCGCGGTCATCCTGATATAGGAGTTTGCTAAAAGACATCTAATTGAGAAATACTATTATAATCTAATTAGTTATCATAACGCTTAATAGTTTACATTTGCTCAGCTCAATTTGTTACAGTTTACATTTGCTCAGCTCAGCTCATTGACAGAGCCTTGAATGATACCAAAGTGATACCAAAATGATACCAAAATTGGGTTGATCGGTGCGGAAAATGAATGAAATGGAAGCTTCAATTTAACATTTCATTTTTAGAGCTGCCACCAAGGAATCATTTCTGACAAAAGTGAAAGACACGGTTGTGGATGGATCAATCGATCTCAAAGATAAAGTCAAGCAAAAAGTCATGCAGGAAACGGGAAGTACGTTGCGTTGTTTGAGTCGTCAAATTTGTTCCCCAAAATGTTTAAATTGGACAGCTCAACACCGAGATATTTCAGCTCAAAGATAGATTGCCAATGGCAAAGGAGCGGAGCGTGTATAAAAGGTCTTTCTGGCCCCGCCCCTTTTCCCATTAGCAACCTAGCTTTAAGCTTACATATCTTGACGTTCGGCTCAATCGATCTCAAAGATAAAGTCATGCAGGAAACGGGAAGTACGTTGCGTTGTTTGAGTCGTCAAAATGTTCCCCAAAAATACTATCTCAAAAATACTATACTAATAAAATATTCCGTTAACAAGCCTGAATATCTTTTGCTTTATTTAAAGAGTTTAAAGGGTATTCAGTCTTGAGCAGGATCTCTTGAGCATTTTGGGACATTTCATACACGCTCCACCCCCTTTTCGATTAGCAATCCAACTTTGAGCTCAAATTTCTTAGTGCTGAGCTGTCCAATTTAAATAGCTTTTGTACCAATCGAGAGAGAAAGACTTGGCGCATCTAATGATGCCAAAAATGTTTAAATTGAACAGCTCAACACCGAGAAATTTCAGCTCAAAGATAGATTGCCAATGGCAAAGGAGCGGGCGTGTATAAAAGGCCCATCGTCCAGCCCTCTTTTGCCATTGTCAATCCCCGCCGCCTTGTCATTGGCAAAACTTTAAACTCGAATTTCTTGGTGCTGAGCTGTCCAATTTAAATAATTTTTGTACCAATCGAGAGAGAAAGATTTGGCGCATCTAATGATATTAAGAATATTTAAATTGAACAGCTCAACACTGAGAAATTTGAGCTTAAAGTTAGCCAATGGGAAAAGGAGCGAGGCTGGTAGATAACCCTTCTGTTCTTAAAAGGTGAAAGGCAAAGTTAAGCTCAATGGCTTGAAATTGGTTCTAGGTTTTGCTAGTCTTGCTAGCTAATACTTTTTATTTCAATAAACTGAAATTAGAAGAAAAAATCCTCGAATCGAAAGCGATGAATAAAAGTAAGCGATGAAAAAAAGCATGTAATGAAAATCGAGAAAATGATTGAGATTTGCATTGAATGAGCGATGATTTCCGAATTCAACTATCTCCTTGTTTTCATCTATTGAAGAGTTTTTGGAAACACTTAAATCTTGCCAATTTCAGTGCCAGAATGGGCCTTCGTTTTCCTTGGCATCATCACACTGGCCATCGTTCTCTGCTGTGCCTATTTGTTGATCAGAAAGGTTTTTTTTTCGCACAAAATGTCTAACATTGATTTATTATCTAGATATACTCCTCTAATTTTATATTTATATTTTATATTTTATGCAACTTTTCAGCTATTCGGCAAGAAGCGTCACGGGGATCAGAACAAAAAAGGATTCAAGGTAAGTTTTTCTGTTTTTTTCTGTTTTTTCTGTTTTTTCAGTGTTTCCAGACTTTCCAGAATCTCCAAAAGCTTTAAATTCAAGCTTTAGATTCAGTTAGCTTTAAATTCAGCTGAATATCTTAAGTCTAGTCTATCTTTCCTTTCAGCTGAATATCTTAACTCTAGTCTATCTTTCCTTTCAGCTGAATATCTTAACTCTAGTCTATCTTTCCTTTCAGCTGAATATCTTAACTCTAGTCTATCTTTCCTTTCAGCTGAATATCTTAACTCTAGTCTATCTTTCCTTTCAGCTGAATATCTTAAGTCTAGTCTATCTTTCCTTTCAGCTGAATATCTTAACTCTATCTTTTCTTTCAGCTGAATATCTTTTCAGGATCTCTTCTCGAAGAAAGGAGCCGAGGGAATGTTTGACAAGGATGGCGCGATTGCCGCCGATTTAGCCCATCTTGAGGAAAATATGGAACAAAACGAGAAAGAGCAAGCCGAAGTGAAAGAGGAAGTGAGGAACAATGTCTATTGAGAACAGAAAAAAAAATGAATTTACATTCATCTAGCAATTCTAAATGATTACTTGTAAAACCTACTCTAACAAGATGTAGAATTTGCAGAGAAAATATCAAATTTCAATTTCCAGTTGAAATTTTTCCCATCAATTCCCATCAATTTCCAGTTGAAACTCGGTCGGATACAGTACAAATTCGACTACGATTTATAGGATGTAGAAATTGTAGCAAAAATACAGCTAGAATTAAGGCCAAAAATTGATCCAAACTGATCCAACTTCTTAGCCTATCAAAACCCATCAATTTCCAGTTGAAACTCGGTCGGATACAGTACAAACTCGACTACGATTTTCAACAAGGACAGGTATTTTGAGAAAATTCTTTAAAAAAATCCCCTTTTTATTCAGTTATCAGTGACGGTGATTCAAGCTGAGGATCTTCCTGGAATGGATATGTCCGGCACATCGGATCCATATGTGAAATTGTATTTGTTGCCTGAGAAGAAGAAAAAGGTACGATAATCCTTTTAATAATCTTTTTAATAATCAATTATCGTAATCTTTTTAGATAATAAATATCAAAGATAGTTGATTTTAAACTTTATATATGTTGTGTCCGATTAAGATTTCCGTCGGATTTAGATTCAATCTAAATCGGACGTCCAATATAGACTGTAATCTAAATCGGACGTCCGCGATAAGTTCAATCTAAATCGGACACAACATATATAAACTATATATAAATTTTCTAGGTGGAGACGAAAGTGCATCGGAAAACGCTGAATCCGGTCTTCAATGAGACATTTATTTTCAAAGTTTGTACAGTTTAAATGGAAATTTAAATAGATTTTAGCTTTTAGTTACAGTGATCGTTAGTTAAATGGAAATTTAAATACAAAACTTTACAGGTTGCCTTCAACGAAATCACTTCAAAAACCCTCGTTTTTGCCATTTATGATTTCGATCGTTTCAGCAAACACGATCAAATTGGACAGGTGGGGAAATGAATTTGATAAAAGCTGATATTGCTGATTTGGAATTGCTTTCTAATTTGATTCCAGGTTTTGCTACCACTCGGGAAAATTGATTTGGGACAAGTGATCGAGGAGTGGAAAGACATTGCCCCGCCACCAGATGATAAAGAAGCGGTAAGGGGATTTACCAAAAAAAAGTTGCCAAGTCACTGAAGTAAACATGCTAATATATCTGTCGAAAAACTCGCTTAAAAGTGAGCTTTTCTGGACTGCTTTCTCGTCGCCGTGGCGCAGTCGAGAGCGCGCTTGTCTACGGCTCACATGGTCCGGCTTTGACCCCCGTACCCTCACTCAATCTTGTCTTGTTAATTTTTTATTTAAAATGGCATAACTACAATATATTCTAAGGTTTTCTAAACAAGTTTTAGCTTTATTGGTCAAAACACGACTGAGAAAATGCAATAAAGATAGACATTGCTCTTTTATTAGGGTGTCAACTAAAACCGGACTAAATAACCGGATAAAGGAACTATAAGAAAACTAAATAGGAACTATAAAGGAACTATAAAGGAGCTATAAAGGAAATATTGAGGAACTATAAAGGAACTATAAAGGAACTATAAAGGAACTATAAAGGAACTATAAAGGAGCTATAAAGGAACTAAATAGGAACTATCAAGGATTTAAATAAGAACTTTTTCATTAAAAATTGGTTTTACAAATGTTGAATCTACCAAGAGTACGGTTTACACTATTGGAAAGATGTATATTGCCTCTGCAAATGGTTGTTGGCGATTTAGAAAAGTTTTCTCTAGGTCTACTATTTTTCTATAAAAGATCATTGAAAACTTAAGAAATTTTTTGTTTTTGTATCACCATTTTATTGACTTTTATATACATATATATATTAAAGCACGTGTGGCTGACTGGTTAAGTGTCTTTTATCTTAATCGGAAGGTCGAGGGTTCGAACCCCACATGCGACATGGTCACCCCCTTCGGATTTCCTTTCCCTTCGGGTTGAGAGGTTTTCTGGAGGGCAGTCTGGTGGTTGTGGCCCCAGTTCTTTAAAGTGACAAGCCACTCCTTCATCGTCATCTTCCCTTCACCACCAAAAAAGCTATTTAGTTCCCCATTGAGCTTAGGGTTAGGGAGCCGTCTGTCATGACGTGGGTTAAGTTAAGATATAGCCTAGTATTGTGTGTGTCGTTGTATTGTGATTGATATATTTCGTGTATGCGATAAATTCACCACTGGTAGCCCCAGTCGGTATTTTTTAATAAAAGTCAAGTAAAACGAGTTTTTGCGTGAAAAGTAAAATAAAAAAGATAGAAAAGTGTATAAGAAAAATCGTCTATTTAGAGCAAAACTAGGTCAAATGGTGAATCAAAAAATTAACAAGACAAGATTAAGTTAGGGTACGGGGATCAAACCCGGACCTGGTGGGGCGTAGACAAGCGCGCTCTCGACTTTCTTCGACTTTCTTGGAAACAAGCCCAGATTGGGGTAAAACGATGGAAAAATGTATAAGAAACAGCGTCTATTTAGAGAAAACCTAGGTCAAATGGTGAATTTATCATTTTTTGAACAGATTTTTAAAAAAGTCTTCAAAGACTTATTAGCCAATCTAATAGATTAGATAAGAACTAGTTTTTGGCTATTCTGGAAAATAGAGTTCTCTTTTTGGGGACCAGGAAATGCAGAATCTGGTTACTGGCTTGGCCTTGGGCCTAGGTTGAAACATCGATTCCCCTATTGGTTAACCGTCAATCAGCTTTATCACTTTTCAATAATATGTAAACTTTTAGGAAAAAGCCCTTGGTGATATCTGTTTCTCTCTTCGATACGTACCCACAGCCGGCAAATTGACCGTGGTGATTCTTGAGGCGAAAAATCTCAAAAAGATGGACGTCGGAGGATTGTCTGGTGAGTGAGAATTGAAACAAAAAAAGCAACCAACTAAAGATAATGATGGACAGTAGAAATGGGCAAGAATAGTGGGTTAATATAATTTAAACAGCTATAGAAGCTATAGAAGCTATAGAAGAAGAAGTAGAATTGAATAGAAAGTACCAGATCCCTACGTGAAAGTGGAGATTCGCGAGAATGGGAAAAGAGTGAAGAAGAAAAAGACGACAATCAAGAGGAAAACCCTCAATGCTTATTACAATGAGAGTTTCGTCTTTGAGCATTTGCCAGATTGGAGGATAAAGGTGAAAAATGGAGAAAAGAATGGGAAGAATGAGATGGGAATGGATGATGATGCTGAAGCTGATAACAATCGAATAACAGAATAACAGAATAACCATTCAGCTTGAAAATTCAAAGTCTTTTCTTTTCTTTTTCATAATTCTATTTAAAACCAACAAATGCAATTGAATTTATAACAAATAACAAATAAAATGAATAACAAAAATGGCTATTTAATCAACCATCAACTGCGATTAATCAACCATCAACTAATGCGATAATACGTTTTCTAAAAAGTGCTCAATTTTAAAGATATCTTGGCTCTAGTTTTATCCAATACAATTTCTGTATCGTTTGATATCCTTTGTCAATCAAAAGAAAGAATCAAAAGTAGATGTATTGGACAAAACTAGATAGCAAACGATAGCTTCCAAAAGTTAGACACGTTTTAGAAAACCATTTGACAATCATGACTAAATATAACTAATCTATTACTTATCAATTTCAGATCCCTACGTGAAGATCGTTCTAATGCAAGGCGGGAAAAGGTTGAAGAAAAAGAAGACGTCGATCAAGAAATGCACCCTCAATCCATACTATAATGAATCGTTCTCATTCGAAGTGCCATTCGAACAAATCCAGGCATGATTATCTTTCATTAATTTACTTTTTCTTCTGCTTTTTACTAAACTGGGAATTATTTGGCACTTTGAACAAGATGTACTTTAGAAAGTCTCACTGATGATTACTGTAATGGATTACGATAAGCTTGGATCGAATGACGCGATTGGGAGATGTTTATTGGGTGAGTGGAAAGAGTTGGGAAAAGACTAAGCCATACCGTAATAGCATAGTTTGCTTAACGGTCATATAGCTTAAAACTGGCTAACAAAGAGCAGAAGAAATTTTATAAAGAGCTTTAAATTAGAGGAAGGAAGCATGAGAATTGGCCAATCAAACTCTTATCAAGTCAAAGCCTTGATTAGTCAAACTTAGGTTTGGCCTGGGTTTGATAAGACTTAACATCTCAATTCTTACGCAAAACACTAGTACAGTCAACTCTCGATTTAACGATTCTAAAACCAGCCTCAAATTTCTTGCGTAGTTATCCTGAACGGCCAACGATTGCGTAGCTGTTCTGAACGGCCAACAACTGCGTTTGCCTGAGCGGCTACGCAGAAACCAAGGGCGTGTTTTAGAATTTCAAAATCGTTGTATCGAGAGTTGATTGTATTTAAAAGCTTTGCCGCGTAACCCCACCCTGGGGCATGATTTGGATAAGTTAGCCAAATCGGCGTTCAAGAAAAGTTCGCAATTGGGTTCAATTAGGAATTTGAAGATCGAATTGGCTCAAATAATCAGAGAAAAAGACTTCTTGCCATAATTGAAAGGATCCTTCAAGAAATTTGCAACAACTTAGTGCGAGCGCTTCATTTTTTTTGCGATCTTCTTGCTTTCTTCATGATTGCTCTTTTGATGTAACGGATGTAACACTTGATGGCTCGAAAAAGAGTGCTTTTGTGGACGGGAGCTCCAATTTGTACCGTGACGTCCTGTAGCGACATCACCGAATTCGACAACAGACGTCCCATATGCCGTTCAGCGACCGTGAGCTTTCGATGACGTCCCAGAGACTTTTTTTTGCCATAATTGAAAGGATCCTTCAAGAAATTTGCGACAACTTAGTGCGAGCGCTTCATTTTTTTTTGCGATCTTCCGATTCGACAACTTTCTTCCTTTCAAAATCGCAATTTTCATCTGTTCGAGCGATCGATTTTCCCCATCTTCCTCAAAAATAAAAATTAGTTTGAAAAAGAAATAGAACAAGGAAAAAGAAATATAATAATTATTACAGGTAGAAAATGAAAAAGAAACGTGGTGATTCTATCATTTTGCAAAATAAAGAAATGATTAAAAATTTTGATTTTTAAAGTCAATGATTTTTTCGTAAACGGTATTTGCGCGTACTTTTAAAAAAAAATTGGAATTTAAGCGCTTTTTTGTATTTTTAAATATTTAAAGTGGGGGGGAGAGTCTTTTTTTTTGCTGGGGTTGCGTTCTTGGGGGGGGGGGGATTTTTTGGGGTTTTTTTTGGGGGGGGGAATCAGACCCCGACACGTCAAATTGGGCTAAAGGGCAAAAAAGCGTTTTGCCTTCAATGGTGGAACCTCTATGAAAACTTTTTGACCCCCCCCCTTTTTTAAAGGGGCCAGGTGGGCAAAGGTCGCTTGCCCACTCCTAAAGTTAAAAATCGCATTTTGCAACGCACTGTATTATCTTTGGCAAATCATTTTGCCAAAGAGAATACAGGCAAATCATTCAGGTTGTAACGCGACCGGAGCCGAGTTGCGCCATTGGATGGACATGTTGGCGAGTCCGCGACGACCGATCGCTCAATGGCACACATTGCAAGCAGTCGAAGAGGATGGAGATAAAAAAGATGATGATAAAAAAGACAAGAAATAGAAGAGTGCCAATTTCTTGGTACTCATTCTCTAACTTCTCACTCACTTCTTAATATTTTTGATCTCACAATGCTATATACAAAATTTGATAATATTTTCTTGAAATCCTTTAGAGGAGAGCTTTTTGCATGACATGATTGTGAATATTGAGATAGATTGTAGCCTTGTTTTGATAACAATAATCTGCTACAGTAATCCTATCGATCTAATAGGCTTTATGAATTTCTTCAGACATCCGGCTAAAATCTAAAATTTCTCTAACTTTCCCCCTTTTCCAATTATGTAGCTGATTCACTTTGTGTCAAAGTTTCAATTTTGATCGTTTTTATTCCCTTTCTTCAGCTTTTCCCTGCTTGCCTCTTCTCAAACAATAGCAATCAAATTCTTTTTCTTGTCTTCGTTCATTTTTGCAACCGGTGATTGACAATTGCAAATTTTTTTATTAATTTCTTTTTGAAAAATTTCTACTTTTTTGGAGAGATGGGCTTTTTAATGAAAGATCATTCAATTTCAATGAAAAAAAGATAATAATAGGCTGATCAAAGCTGGAAGAAGTCAACGTCAACTAGACAATTCCTAGAACTAGCCTAGAACCGTGAAACCTGAGGCACACTGGAGCCAAGGATAGCCTTGATATGCCAGGGCTCACCCAGTTAGACATCAGAGCCTGTACCCTGACATACCTTGAGCTTACGATTTAGGGTAAATCGGGATCTTTGCCAGTAGCTTTGGAAGTACCAGGGAAGTCATAGGCTATTGTCAGCAATGATATAGTTAGGCTCAAATCCTGATGGGGATTCGAGCCCAGCACAAAAGACTCGATTAGTTTCGTAGACAAGGACACTAACCGCTAGACTGACTGTCGCTAGACTGACTGTCGCTAGACTGACCGTTGCTAGACTGACCGTCGCTAGACTGACCGTCGTTGGAAGATGAACGTAAAAGCTCATATCCAACAGGGACAACAAATACTTCTGTAAGTGTTGCTTGTCTTCCCTCCCACCTCTCCTTCCGAATTCCTTGGTTCCGAATTCCCTCGTTCCGAATTCCTTCGTTTCATTTTCCTTCTTTTGTAGATGGGTACTGTGTGTATTCTTCCCGCAGCGCTAATCTATTTATATTTATATTATTTATTCTATTCTTCATTCTCCAGTATTTGTCCGCTCGACTTGATCTCATTCTCTTTTTCGTAGCATTTGATGTTCAATGTAGAGAATATTTATGAAATAAAATTTCGAAAATGAAAGGACAATGAGATTCATTTCAAATTACCCAAACGAACACGTAATACTTTGTAATTGGAAAAAGAAAAAACAATAAAGAAAAGCAATAAAGAAAAGCAATAGAGTAAAACAATAAAGAAAAAGGTTTATATCAATCATCAATCAGAAAATATCATCCAAAATCGAGTACTCGGGCACAAGAACGGTGTAAGAGCGACGATTGCGAATGTATTCTGAAAATTGGCTTTAATTCATTGAGAAAAGTTTAGCAATATAGCAATATAGCAATTTAATTCAGTTTAGCAATATAGCAATATACTGGAATCCAGACAATTCTAGATATTAGTCCCTAACAGTAATTTGTGCACAGTTGTAAAACGTAATTGAACCACGTAATTAGTCCACAGTTGTACAGTTGTAGTTGTAATGTTTTTGGTCACAACTCTTCACCGACTTCTTCAATCTTCTCCAATCTACATGGCTTTTAGGTCATTTGACGTGGAAAAGGATTTCCTAACGAATTGACACCAAAACATGATACAATATTCAACCTTACAGTCTCCCAAAAAGATTTCTAAAGGAATGCTTTACAAGAGCTAAAGATTCTCTTGAATACTGACTTTCTGGTGTTAAATCCGATCTCGGTACAAATGGCATATTGTTCAACATAGCGTACGAAGGTCGACGATCATTTAAATCTAAAAAGAATTCTTGCAAAAGGAGAAAGAATTCTTGCAAATTCGATCTAATCTTTTCTCATGACCTTTTTAAAAAGAATTTTTGTTTAAGCCTTCAAAACATTTTAGCCTTAAGCCTTCAAAACCTTTTAAGCCTTTTAAGCCTTCAAAACCTTTTAAGCCTTATTAAGCCTTCAAAACATTTTAGCCTTAAGCCTTCAAAACATTTTAAGCCTTTTAAGCCTTCAAAACATTTTAGCCTTAAGCCTTCAAAACATTTTAGCCTTAAGCCTTCAAAACATTTTAAGCCTTTTAAGCCTTCAAAACATTTTAGCCTTAAGCCTTCAAAACATTTTAAGCCTTTTAAGCCTTCAAAACATTTTAGCCTTAAGCCTTCAAAACATTTTAAGCCTTTTAAGCCTTCAAAACATTTTAAGCCTTTTAAGCCTTCAAACTGTTTTAAAAGCCTTCAAAAAAAACCGTAATCGAAACTACTAAAAAGGATTGAAATCTTTTTTCACCTCTTGTTGGCAATGCATGAACAGAATTGTAAAGTAAAATGATGAGAATGAGTAGAGTGATTCTCATTGATTGCATTGGTGACTAAAGTTTAGAGATGTAGAAAAGCTTTCAAAAAAACAAATGAAATCAAATCAAACAAATGAATACGTAAAATACAAATGAAATCATCATAAAGTTAAAGGAATATTAGGTTGATGCAAAAAGTCTTTTCGTTTTTTTCGTACTTCTGTTAAAAAGTAACAAGTTCATCAATTAATCTATAGTTTGCTCTATAAAAAAAGTGTTTTTTTTTTTGTTCAATTTGCATCTTTTTAAATGAATTTCGGTTCACTTTCAAGCAAATTCGAGAGTGAAAAACGCCTTTTTCGTAAAAATCTATAAAAAACTCTACGGAAAAATTGGCTGAATGAATTTCTCTGAAATTTTGGCGAAATATCAAACGTTTTTTTTCTCTATCTTTTATCTATTGACACGAAGATAGGTTTTCTTTAGCTAAGGTGTCTAAACCGCATCATCGAGTTAGCCCTTTTTGACTACCCGACTTCATACTCTCAAGAAAATCCAGGCATCAAATATTTTTAAACCCGTTTTAATGTTATTTTGCAGAAAAATAATTGGTTTTTCTAATGAAATCAACCGTAGTTTAATTGGTGCATTTGTTTGCTTGAAACGGCAGACGAAAAGGAACAAAAACACTTATGCATCAACCTAATATATACCGTAAAGAAAATGGATATATTGAAAAAATCGATTGGATTGAACAAACTGAAAGCTAGCGTAATGCTGTCATCGACTTTTTGCATCTCTGCTTCTTTGCAATCCATCAAAATAGATAATTGGATAAAACTAGAGCTAAGATTTGGATGATTGTAGATGATTGTAGATGATTGTAGATGATTGTAGATGATTGTAGATGATTGTAGATGATTGTAGATCATTGTAGATCATTGTAGATGATTGTAGATCATTGTAGATCATTCTAACTATTAAAGTTGTAAGAAATCTAGTAAGAATGGAAGTGAGAAGAGTTGTTTGAGTCTTTTGAATGGACACAGTGGCGCGGGATGGCACACTGATCTGCGAGTAAACAGTTGGAGATGATGGAGAAATGGGGAAAAGAAAAAAGAAAGAGACGGGTGAAGGCCTGAGGGGAGAAGGCCATCAATAAGAAGAGAGATGGAGAAGAAGACTCGATACACTCCATCACAACAGTTCTCGAAGGATCATAGAGGTAGCACGGGGACCCCTTGGCCTCCCAATCATAGAAGGAAAGGGCACGGAAAAGCATTCGTATCAATCTGTCGTCGTGGAGGAAACGGCACGGAAAAGCATCTCCTTCAATCTGTCGTTGTGGTGGATTGCCAGAGTGTCTGTCTCTCAATCGGGGTTCGACTCCGCTAGCAGTCAGTTTTTTGGCGAACTCTAGTCTCAACTAAGCAAGAACTCACTCTCGATTCAATCTTTGATTTACCGATTTGATCTTTAGCTATTTTTTCTCCGAAGCTCAATAGATTTGTTCAGTTTTGATCCCTTCAACAAAATGTTGAAGATCCCAGGAAAAGGGAACGGTGTGCAAACAGAATCATCCATTTTGTGGGTATGCAAATTTGCGAGATGTGGAATTGGGGTTTTTTTTTATGGAAAGAATGAGAAGAAGAAGAGAAAAGAAGGGTGTTGAACATCCCATCACATAGATCAATCAAAGGAATTGGGTAAAAGATGGAGGAAAAAGATGAAGGAAAAAAGATGGAGGAAAAAGAGGAGTGAACGAATGGAGGAAAAGTGAACGACGGACGCTTAATGGTCGATCTCTATTTGCTTCTTCGTTTTATGGAGATCTTTTAGCGAGCTTTTTTTCTTGACTCATTAAAAAGACTGTATTAGTTTATATGAATATTTTATTCAGCATAAAGTACTTGTTTAAACAGCATAAAGTACTTGTTTAAAGTACTTGTTTATTAAGCATAAAGTACTTGTTTAAAGTACTTGTTTATTCAGCATAAAGTACTTGTTTAATGGTACTTGTTTAAAACACTAATCACACAAAAAGGAATCCAAAATTCCAATTTTTGCCCTTGATTTAGCTGTATTTTGATACAAATTCTACTAACCTAAAGTCATTAAAGGTTAAAAGTGATCTGGAAACTCATTTCATTTCATTTCATCTTTTTAATACCATGTTTGCTACTTTATTAAGGTTTTTACTAAGCTAGGCAATGAAGAAAGCTAGACAATCAAGAAAGCTAGACAATACACATCCAAATATTTAACTAAGACCCCATGATTGACTTAAAGAGTCAAGATTCTAGAAAGATTCACTTGCTTGCTACTTGCTACTTGCTAACAAGTGCTTACAAGTACTTGTTAGCAACAAGTGCTTACAAGTACTTGTTGTAGAAAAATCTCTACAATTCATAAAAAGACCTTGCTCATTCCCCGGTTCTTTTCAAAGGATATCAGCTGTACATAATGGATACCTATGTTCTTTGAAATGGTCATAAATTCTGAAAAAAAAAACTGAACTAAAGAATTTTGAAGGGGAATGACTGAATGGGGATCTCATTGACCTTGTGATGAACAGACACCCGATGAAGAAAAAAAACATTGACAAAAAAAAAAGATCTCTATGATGACCGACACGATATGGGAAATGAGAAATGGGGAAAAAATGAGGAGAAAGGAAAGAGATCAGTATTCAAAAATATCAATTTAAATCAAATACCGTTTTTTTTCTCTAATAGTAGTGCACCGCGGCGAGCCGAGTTGATTTGACGCCGAGTTGATTTTGGCGAGCCGGAAAGATTTTACGGTTGCCAGATTTTCACAGAAGCTCAACACTCAAATCTCCCACAAGATCTCATCGTCAGCTACATTTTACCGACTCCAAATCGATAGGTTCTGATTTTCTTTTTAACTACATTTTTTGTAGGAAAAAAATACTAGATCATTTGACACTAAAGCACAAACTGTGGGGGTGGGACAAATGCGACCTTTTTTTTGCGCACCTGGACATTTGCGCACCTTTTTTTTGCTGGAAAAGGTCTTAGGAAAGGTCGTAGAGCTTCAAAAATGTTTTCATGGAAGGGAATCGTATGCGTAGATTCCGAATTTCGACAAATCAGACCTCGCTGACACGTCAAATTTGGGCTAAAAGGTAAAAACTGCGTAAAAGCGTTAAGTTGCGTAGTTTTTGCCTTTTAGCCCAAATTTGACGTGTCAGCGAGGACTGATTTGTCGAAATTCGGAATCTACGCATACGATTCCCTTATGTGGAAATATTTTCGAAGCTCTACGACCTTTCCTAAGGCCTTTTCCAGCAAAAAAAAGGTGCGCAAATGTCCAGGTGCGCAAAAAAAGGTCGCATTTGTCCCACCCCCCAAACTGTAGCTTAAAGCAGTGCAGAGAATTTGGACGTTGAAAGGTAAATTACGCGACGAAAGTGGATACGTTTTAGGAAATGGAGATAATTTGCCAGATTTGTCAGCTTTCCCAGCTTTCCCAGCTTTCCCAGCTTTCCCAGCTTTCCCAGCTTTCCCAGCTTTCCCAGCTTTCCCAGCTTTCCCAGCTTTCCCAGCTTTCCCAGCTTTCCCAGCTTCCCAGCTTTCCCAGCTTTCCCAGCTTTCCCAGCTTTCCCAGCTTTCCCAGCTTTCCCAGCTTTCCCAGCTTTCCCAGCTTTCCCAGCTTTCCCAGCTTTCCCAGCTTTCCCAGCTTTCCCAGCTTTCCCAGCTTTCCCAGCTTTCCCAGCTTTCCCAGCTTTCCCAGCATTCTTTTAATGAATCCAACTTAACGCTAATTGTAAACTGCAACTTATCTCAGTTATAATGAATTTCATGCAACAAGGACAGATCTTTTTCAAATATTTTTATTTTCTCCAGTTGCTTCCAATAAGATAACTTTCAAAAAAAAACCAGCGCAAAAATCTGAGAATCAGCAGAATTCAAAAAAAGTTCGCAAATTCGCGCTTTTTTTTAGTTTCTCATTGTGTTCTTTTGAAAAGATGAAGTGGGTGGGAAAGAATGGAAAAAGAATGAAAAAAAGAATGGAAAAAGAATAGAAAAAAGAATAGAAAAGAATGGAAAAAAAGAATGGAAATGTTATCAGATCATTTTGGCATTTCTTCGCTGTTCCCGCCAAAATTTCCACATTTTCTTACCAATCATTGGCAGCTTTTTACCTAAAAAAGAATTGAAAAACGATTAGCATCTCAGAAAATGAAACTTTTATATTTTATTCTTTAATCTTTAACTTTCAGTAGGTATTGGCAATGCTTGTCTTGTTTCTTGAACACCTCTTCAATCAAAAGAGCTTCACTTTTAGGCTCTTACAGCTCCATTTAAAGAGCTCTTACAGTTCATTTACTCCATTAATCTCCTTCAATATCTTCAGCTCTTTTTTCAATACAATTTCTATATTCAATACTTGTCATTTACATTGTAGAATTGAAGAATATTCTTCTCATTCTATATTCCATATACAGTACTGGACAATGAAATATGATATTTGAAAAACGATCGTCACTTTCGCGCGTCTGTAACTCCCTTGTCTTTGAGTTTAAACTATTAGTGTTATACATTTGTCTGAAAGCTCTTTTCAAGGGCTACACAATGGTAATATTAATATTTAGAAATACGGTAAAGACAAGGGAGTTACAGACGCGCGAAAGTGACGATCTTTTTTCAAATATCATATTTCATTGTCCAGTAGTGTATCAATAATGAGATTAGTGAATTTAAAGCCTCTTTTTGGTGAATCTAATGTTTATCTATAAAAATGAAAAGCACAAATAATATTCACAAATAATATTCATAAATAATATTCATAAATAATTAAGCCCGATGAATTGCAAGAAAAATTCTTTCATGAATCCCTTCTTTGATCTGCACTTTGTGCTCGTATTTGGTTAATTGAATAAGTCTTTTCGTTCGTTTAGTAAGGCATAAAGCTCTATTTTGGCGGCAAACGATATGTGTCGGTGTGGCTGTTTGGTAGATCGTCCGCCTGGTAAGCGAGAGGTCGGGAGTTCGACTCCCGTCACCGGTCATCTTTTTTTCCAGTGTCTAAAAAAA